TGAAGTTGTGTTTTGGTTTGTGTGATCTAGACATAAATGGATACACTGACGCAGATTTTGCAGGAGATGTAGATGATAGAAAATCTACTAGTGGTCATGTGTTCTTGTTTGGTGAACAGCAGTTTCTTGGCTAAGTAAGAAACAGAGTTGTGTTGCAAAGTATACTATGGAAGCTGAATACATAGCTTGCAGCACAGCCGTTAGTAATGCGGTCTGGATAAAACGATTTGTTGACAATTTACAATTAGGTATACCTGTCAGACCAGTCAGTATGTTTTGTGACAATCAGTCTGCCATCTCATTAATAAAAAGTGGAGCAAATAGCTCTAACGGAAAACATATTGATGTTAGTTACCACTATATTCAGGACATAATGGAGAGAGGTGAAATTAAAGCCAACTATATACCCTCAAAAGAGATGGTGGCAGATAGGGATGGCAATTTAAAACTAACCCGACAGTGACCCAACCCCCGACCTCGAATTAAGTGATTATTCATCGAAAAATACCCCCGCGGGGACGGGGATGGTATTCAAAAGTTCATCCCCGATGATATCCGGGCCGGGGACGGGGATAGGTGTTTCAGAACCGGACCCGGCCCGGCCCTGGCCCCGCCCCCCGGTCCCTACCCGCCCTAGCTTAATCCCCGAAATGAAATTACAGTTTTGTCCCTGCATATATGTATATCCTTGTGTTTGTCTAGGGTTTGAGACACACACACACTCAGACACACCTCTCACTCACACGGCGCTCTGCTCCGCTCGCTCCTCTCTCTCTCTCACGCTCGCCACCACTGGTTTGGTCTCCTCCTCTCTCTTTCTCTCACCGCCGCGCCTCTCTCCTCATCGGCGATCCTCTGTCGCCATCGATCCTCCCTTACCGCCTTACCTCTGCCGTTCCTCCGTCGCTCTTTCACCGCAGCTGCTTTCTCTCCCTCACCGCCGACCTCCCTCACCGTCGCTCTCTCTGTGTAGGTATCTCTCTCTCTCTCTGGATTTCGTTCTAGGGTTTACATATATGTATATTTTTTATATATATATATATATATATATCTGAGTGTATATTATATATAGATTCAACCTCTGTTTTTTTTTTTTTCCTTCAAAATTTATAGATCTATCTATTTTATATATAGATCTATTTATTGATCTGTTTATAAGTAATGACTTCGAAATAACGACTGATCTGTTTATTGATCTGTTGGGAATTTGTTATGCATATAGATCTGTCTATTTTATATTATTGATCTGTTGATATTATTGATAATCTATCTATATTATTGATAATCTGTCTATTAAGCTATCTATTTTATCTATATATCTGTTTATAGACCTATTTTATCTGTAGATCTGTTTTTAGTTTTAACTTATCATTTATAATCTCATTCGTAATCGTAATCAATCATTGGAAACTCTTCTTGATCAGTTTATCTGTAGATCTGTTTATAGATCTATTTTACAGTTCTTACTGTTTTTGCACTGGGAGCCGAATGTTGGTGAACAAGTGGAAACTCATCTTGATCAATAATTATAAATGAGAAGCAGACTGGCCATGGGGGTGAAGAAAAGTAATGTTATGTTGGCTTTACTGCCATGGCCACAAGGTGTTTGATGTTTTGCCTGAGTCGCTTCTTGATTGTCAAAATAGCACACATACTTCGTTTAAAATACATGGTCAAATTTACATTCCAGAGATTAACTACTTTAATAATGATACTACTATGTTTGGCTATTAAAGTCTTCTAGGTTTAATTGGGTTAAAAATGATAAAAAAAAATTAAGGGAAACTGTTAAAGTAACTGTTCAGAAAGCCAATAAACTAAGGCTTAGGTGGTGGCTAGTCAAAAAAAGATGAAGTGATCATGGCATTTTTATCACATTCTTATATTTCATATTGCTGCTTTTAATTGCAATTCTTTCAATTGCTTGAGTTAATTTTCAACACAACTTGATAATCTCTCTTCAGTTAGCTTCAGAAACATGACCTCAAAGTAGCCTTGTGTGTGTGTGTGTGTGTGTGTGTGTATGTGTTTGTGTTTGTTGCAACAGATCGGTGCTTTAATTATATTTCAGCGTTTTGATTTCTTTTAAATCATAAGAGAAGGTTTTATGTAATATATAAAATTTGTAACTAAATCTAGGGAATTTGATTGAGAAATTTAGATTTGGCGTTTTTAGTTGATGTGAGTGTTATTTACAGCAAACAATTGTAAATTCATAAATAAATGCAGGGAATGTTTGTCTATGGCTGTATAACCATCTTCAACATCTAAATGGAATATGTAAGTGAATACAGCCTCAGAAAAGCTTTGAGAATTATAGACAGCATTAGACAAGAAAATGAAGTTTGCTTGATTCTCACATAATTGTAATTAGTTTTAATTATTACAAATTGGTTTGAGAAAATCTTGCCTGTAGCCTTCAAGTAGATAAACTTTTGACGAACACTTGGTATCATCATTCAGATATTACACTATTCATACTGCATTCCTTTTAATTTTATGTGCATATATTGATTGTTGATATGATGAAAAGTTTCTTATAATTTATTCTCTCCTGGTGGATTGCTAAACAGGTTGTTGAGGTTGTAAGTCACTTCTCTTCTTTGCAGGTTCCTCATGTTACTCGTACTGATTATCAACTGATTGATATTTCTGAAAATGGTTTTATGTTGTAATGGATATTTTTTTTATTATTTTTAATTTCAATTTTTGGATAACCTATCCCTTGCGGGTTGTGCTTGGGATTAATTATTCTCTTTGCTACTTGTTGAATTTTCTTGTGTGTGTGGGCTGCTGGACAGATGTTTTGTTTGTGCTATTTTGTTGCTACAGGATGTTTTGTGTTTGAGTTGTATATGGGTTGCTGAATTTTGTTGCTACAGGATGCTATTTTATTGAATATTTGATAGATGCTATATTTGAAAGATGCTGCTGGACAGATTTATTGATTTGTATATATTATGTTGAATTTTTTAGGTAGCTTATCTTATTTGAATATGTTGACACATTATGTATTGATTTTTTAGCTTGACAGATTATGAATTTTAAATTTTTGGCAGATTATTTAATTTTTTATATATTGGCAGATTATTGATTTGAATTTTTTAGCTTGACAGATTATGAATTTTTAATTTTTGGCAGATTATTTAATTTTTTATATATTGGCAGATCATTGATTTGAATTTTTTAGCTTGACAAATGCTGCTAGACAGATTCTTAATAGGATGTTTAAAATTGTTTTTTGAAAAAAATAAATAAAAAAATACTGTAATTCGGTCGGGGAATTAGTGGGGTCGGGGATACCCGATCCCCGATTGGGAGCGGGGGCGGGGGGATACGGGGTCCCTGTTGGGGATCGGGGATGAGGACGGGAAATTTCTCACTATCGGGGATCGGGGACGGAGAGTGTGGTCCCTGGCCCCGTCCCGCCCCGTTGCCATTCCTAGTGGCTGACCCTATGACCAAAGGGTTGTCTTTGGAAAAATTCAGAGAACATGTAGCTAATATGGGATTGAAAAATACCTAGCTATGTGGTTTAGCTACTTATATAAGAGCATAGTCGGATGACTCTGGGGACGCCTTTGTTAACCGATGTTTTGCGACTCTATCTTGCATGGAAACATGTGTTTGGTCAGGTAACAAGATAGAGGAACTGACAAGGTACGGATATCATAGTTAGCATGCGATGTAAAGTCCATAATATGCAACGTGCAAACTAGATGATATTGTCTGCTTAATCAGCAAAAAGTCATTAATAAGATGTGTTAAGGAAAACCTTCAGGAATGGGTCTTAAAGGAAGTACTTAACAATAATTTCAGTGCAGGTCGACACATGAAAATGTGTACGGCTGAAGTCGTCAATGGTGATTGGGTATGCACTGAAAATTGATGTCGTTCACTTGTTATATAGTGAATTGAAGTCATCTGGAATGTGTTGTCAGTGGGAGAACACATTCGTACGGGTGCAGTCAGATTGGTGATAAAAACATGCGCACGAATGGCCAAGTCATAATCAGATGTCGATCTATGAGGTAATTTCATAGATAAAAGTTGCCATGAGGCAAAATTTTGGTACCAAGGTTAAAATGCTCAACTTAGGCTGATCATCTTATTATGGTGTGTTCAAGTGGGAGATGATGGAATAAAGAGTGACCACACCATAATTTGGTGTGACTCACTTCACTCAATCTTCTCTCTCTTGAATTGTATAGAACCTTCCCGCAAGAATGTTGAAGCTATCTGTTAGTTAGTTAATGGTTTGAATTCAAACATCAATAGACACAACTTTGTGAACCATGGTGACTGTTGTTGTATGAAACAAATTCAAATATTATACCTATTCCCAAAGGTCACTTATTTGTATATAAATAAGTGACAGCAAGTTTGGAATTATACATAGATATGAACTAGAAATTTTTCATTTTCTAACTTTCGGATAATCAATATTCTCGCGTGATAAACACTCGCACGGGTATTTCGATCAATTGCCATTGTTAAGATTATCTTACAAACATTACTATGGAGAATCTGGACTCCTTGCCTTCACCATCATATTCTCTTACCATCATTAGTCATTGCCACATATGTCATGCCATCACGACCCATATATTTTTTTTGTCATGCAACATATTCATTTTCTTTCCCTTGTAATTAATAAAACTTTTTAAAAAACGTTATTCTAATTTTTTTTCTCAACAAACAAACAAACAAAACAAAAATAAAAAATCACCACAAAATGCACGTAGTGTAAAGCAGTCGTGGAAGCCTTAATCACATGAGGGAGGGAGGCCTCAATGACTTGTGTATTTGGTGAGTTCTTAACGTGGTCTCAACTCAACTTCTCAGCTTGGTAGGTAATTATACTAATATATATATATATATATAATATTATACTAACTATATAGTTGTAGTAATAATAATAATAATATGAACATTTGAGAGAGATATCGAAACCTAACTACAAGAAAATGCAAAAAAACAAGCATCATCAACCCGCCGGAATGCCGCTGCCGCCGTCGCCTTGCCTTTCCCGGAGCAGAAGCGAGCATCCGGCCACGTCACCGCCACCACCGCAGTCACTTGAAATCCACACCAATAGGTCAAATTCCGGCCGGTCAACGTCGGTCCAACGCTCGAAATCAACCACAAAATCAAGAACCAAGAACAAAGTCGAAGAGAACAATTTAAACCCTTCAATGACAAGTCCCAGAATTCCCAAGAAACTTAAAGATCAGCATAGCATAGATGATCACGCTTCTGTTAAGTTTCTGCAACGTACTAATAATGTTAACGATCAAGTGGCGGTGGCGAAGAGGGTGAGATCTACAATGCCTGGTTCGCCTTCTGCATGGGCGTTGTCACCGGGAAGATCTTCACCGTGTTCTTCTCCGGTACTACAAAAGTCACCTGGTGGTGGTGGCCGCGGTGGTGGAATGAGTGGGGTTTTGAAGTATTTTAGGCAGAAGAAGAAGGTGGCAATGGTACAAGAAGAAGAGTTTCATAGGTTTAGGATATTGCATAACAGATTGTTGCAATGGAGGTTTGTCAATGCTCGAGCTCAGGCTTCTAGGGCTGCAATGAAGGCTGTTGCAGAGGTAACAATATCATCAAGAAAATTTAAATTTCTATTTTTAAAACTTTACTATTACTTAACATATTAATTAGTAAGAAAAAATTCATAAAATTTTATAATATATATAACAGTTTGGAAGAAATTTCAAATTCTTATCAGGATAAAAGACAGTTTTGAGTATGAGTTATTTTTCATTTTAATATCTTAAGTTTTAATTTTGTCATTTTAATACTTAAAATTGTCAATTTGGTCATATGTGATTTCCGTCTATGGTAATAGAGATATGGATAAAAGACAATTTTGGTCTCTATATACATTACTTGTCATTTTAGTTTATTAAGTTTTAAATTTTATCATTTTGGTCTTAAAAATTGTCAATTTAAAACTTAAGAGGCTAAAATGACAATAAATACATATTTTAGAGACCAAAAATGTCTTTTATCTAAGGATAAAATACTTTTTCCATTGTCAATGTAAACAGACATTAGAGATAGGAAGAAATTAATTCAAATTGACAGTTTTAATGACCAAAATGACAAAATTAAAATTTAAAGGATTCAAATGACAAAAAACACACATTTTAGTAATTAAAAATGTCTTTTATCCTTCAAATAACGAGACTCATTGATTGATCTTAAACCCCTCTTCCATATACCGTGATATCATGAAATTTCAAATTCTACCAATGAGACTGTGTGATTGAAGTAGTGAGAGACAACTCAATTAGCGGGTTTTAACATGTAGAATTATATCATTGTTGCAATAAATATTTATTCGTTAATTAGAAACTGAAGCATATTCTATATATATGCGATAAAAAATATTTTATACGTTAAGACCTGCCATATATGACATTAGATGACTAGAGCTTCAAACTAATTTAGTCATGCTGATTTTTGGTATGCTTTGCCTCTTGCATGACTAGGGCCAGCGTTGGAGTAAGGCCATTAAGACCTGGGTTTAGGGTCTCTAAATTTTGACTCAAAATAAGATCCTAAATTTATTAGTTTATATTATATTAAAAATTCAAAACTTAATCTTTTTTTATTGTTTGGGTCCAATCTAAACGACACTCAAAAAAATCTATTGGGCCAAATTAAATATATATATATATAACTATTGTTAGGCCCAATTAAAAATTTGTATAATTAGTCCAAACAAATATATATGATATAATGAGTCCAAATAGAGTCTAACATCAAAAATTTAAGAATAAATAACTTTATCTTAATTTTTTTGCCCTCACTCTTTATCATAATTTTGTCTTAGTTTTTTCTCCCAATTTTTTTTTCCAATAATTTGAGTTTTGTTATCAAATAATTAGTGGATTTTGATTTGTCTAGATTATGATTGTATTATCAGATATCATATTACAATAACATAATCATTTCGTTATCAGATATCAATGAATTATGTTGTTTGTGTTAATTATTGCCAAACTATAAAACAACAAGACCATATTTTATCTTTCTTAAGTCTTTGTAATGATTTTTTCCTATTTTAACATATGAAAATAAATTTTAATGATTGTATATGTAAGGAAATTTTTTGTAGCTACTAAATAATAAACAAATTATTGGTATCCGTAATTTTGTTTATAAAAAATATATGTAAGAAAATTTCACTTTCAAAACCCGCCTAAAGCCTCATAAATCTCAGGCCGACCTGTGCATGACCACAAGGTGTTCTAATGGAAATGATCATGTTGAAATTAACATTTTGCTCATTTGTCCATTCAAATGGAAACAGTAGCACATAAGTTTAGACAAAATGTTTGAATTTTTGATCAAGGAGCAAGGTAGTTGACATTGACAACAAACCAAAATAATCTAGCATTGGTGGCACATTAACTCAATAGGTCATTCATATACCTACTATTTTTTCAGATCAAGGGATTGATATCAGGTGTGATACTTTAGTTGAATTTTATCACTACACGATGCTATTTTATGAATTTTTTGAATTTTTTGAATATAAACTACTTTTATGAATTTTTTGTTTTAAAATTATAAATTAAGACTTGTCATATTATTTTATATAATTTTTTTAAAATATGAATTCCTAAAAACATATCAACTATATTTTTAGCTTCAAATGTTAACGGCACACTATTAGTGGGGCACACATATTTAATTTACAGATGTAAACTGCTAAAATTTATGAATAATTTTTCCTTTTATCAATTGCATACACTATTCTTAAATTTTCTTCTTTCTCTATTTTTTTTATTTTTTTATTTTTTCCAGAAAAAGTTGTTCTATGTTTGGCTACGCATCTTTATATTGAGAAAATCTATCATGGAAAAGAGAATACAAACACACAACCTAAAACATGGAATCAAGCTTTACGAGATTATCAACCCACAAATTAGTCTGCTCAATGAATGGGCAAGGTTGGAAACCAAGAATTCAGAAGCAGTTGGCAGGATCATAAGAAAATTGTCTGCAATATCAATCAGACTCCCTTTAGTTCATGAAGCTAAGGTACTTTGTGATTAAATATTTTTCCTCCAATTAATATGGAATCTATTGGTTACTCACTAGATGTTAATCATTTTGATGGGGCTTCCATCCAATTCACAGTTTGGACTGGAGGGTCTAGTTTAGGTGATTTTCGACCTATCATAGTTTTATTTCGTTAATTTAATAAGTTTTTTTAGGGTTGGTTTGGGATGTCCTAAAAAAGTGCACTTTTTGACTTATTGGTGGGTTTGGGTTGGGTTTGATGTGATGTGTTAGAAAGGTGATGTGATTTAAATAAGATGATGTGACTTAAATAAGATAGTGACTTTTTAACTTTTTGACTTATTTAGTACATGTCAAACTAGCCCTTAGTGTCTCTCACGTAGTGGTGGATCCACATGAAAACTAGGGGAGTCACGTGCCTTTACATTTTGGATTTACAAATTTTTTTTTTTTTTTAACACATGTATATAAAAATTTAAACAAAAATAATATTTAGAATAAAATGTTAATGGTATTTTTAAATTTATGAGAACAATAGTGATTGTTTTATTGAAAATGAAATGACTATAACAAATTATATTTTTATGTATGAAAATTTTGTGAAAAAATAACAATATAAAGGTAATATCCATCATTATTGACATGCAAATATAATTAATCTCACTATATATATGTAAAAGTTATTAGAGTGTTTGTTATATTTGCATGTGAAGTTCACCCTTCATATGTTGTTTTTCTATTAGTTGGTGATTTTATATGTCAATGATGATGTAATATCACTATTATATGAAATTTTTACTTAAATTTTGAAAAAATTTAATTTATCTTACCATTATATAATTTATTTTAAGACTTAAATATATGAATTTTTTACATTATCCATGATATATTAGTTACACGCACTACTTTCTTTTTTATTTCACTCGAAGTTAATTGAAGTTTTTTGTAATAATTTATTTTAGTTTTTGTACTTAATATTAATTCAAAAATTATTATTTTTATTGTTGGTTATGGAAAAAAAAATTATAATTAATACGTGTCCTTTCTGATTTAGTTTTTTTGATTTCGCCGCTGCTCTCAAGTAGATTATTCATGGAAAAAAAATTAAGTTGATTGATTTTGATAGTTATATATTTAGGTAACATTTGTTTTAACAAAATAAACGATTTATTTTTTAAAATATACTTGCCATCTTTTTTTTTTATAAAGACAATGAATGATCTATTTAAGAGGTATTAAAAAATAAATGATTTGAATCAAAAAAAAAAAAATTAAATTAAATGTGGGCTCGACGTAGTACACTGGACCCTCCAATAATTGTAGACCGGACAGATGCCTCATCTTTTTGTTCCCCTTTTCACAATAAAAAGAACTAAATACACATAATTCATAAGAGAAAAAGGATAAATTATAAATACACTCATTGAAATTTGTTTAAAATATAAATTGTTTCTCATGGTTTGAAAAATTATAAATATCTCTTTATCAAAAAAATAAATTATTTAACAGATTTAACTGAAAACAATGAAATTTCCACCTACTCTCCTATATAATAATAAAATTACCTAAATTATTAATTGAAATATATTTATGACATTATTAAAAAATATTAATTAATTTGATGATTTATTAATAAAAGGAAAATTTACCCATAAGTCCTAGTTTCTGAAAAGTTGAACCATTTAGTCCTAAAAGTTTTCTTATGCTCCATTTAGTCCCATTTGCACATCAATCTAATGTTTGAAACATTAATATGATGTTCGAAATCTAATGTTCGAAACATTAATATGATGTTTGGAATCTAATGTTCGAAACATTAATCTGATGTTTGAAACATTGTAATGGGACCTTTCAGTCTACAAGAAAACTTTTAGGACTAAACAGTATATAAGTTATTAATTTGGGATTTATTGGTGCATCCCCTTAATAAAATAAGCCATTTATTATGAAATTAGAAATTTCAAGAGGCATGATATAATTTCTAGAATCACGAGAGACAATTCATATTTTAAATAAATCTCAAGGGGTGTATTTATAATTTACCGTAAGAAAATAATAAATATGTTTCTGTATAAAAATTTTCATAGGAAATATGCAAAAAATGTTACATGGACATAATTTATATACAAAAACTTCTTACTTTTGTATTCTATTTATATTCATTTTAAATAAGAAGTCTACCAGTTTGCTTCGCAAGTATGAAAATGTCACTGCGACATTATTTTATGTAGATTTTTTTGTACAAAAATTCTCTGTAAATGGCATTTCAAATGTGGTACAATCATTTTGGGAAAATGACACTCATGCCCCTATAATTTTTCTATTGTGTTAATGTGATCCATGTAGTCATAATTGTACAAATTTTACTATTGAGATTTTCATATTGTGTCAAATGTAGTTCAGTTAATAACATTCTTTTAAAATTCGTATTGAAATGAAGGGTTAAAATAATTCATTCACTTTTCTCAGAGTGAATAATCGGTTGTGTTCAATTTAAAATGATTCAATTCTTTTTGAATGAACTATTTAGGTTGATTTCTATCAAACTTTGTAACGGATGTAATCAATGTGACTAAATTGATACAATATGAAAAATTAACAAACAATTAATACAATTAGAACACAAAATCAAGTTATTGGGTTTTGTTTTGCAAAAGAGAAAAAAAATATATATATATATATATGTATGTATGTATGTATGTATCCTCATGGGTCCCACCTTTTTTATCTTTTGTGATTGGTTCTTTTTTAGATATCCAATCTACTTATACCTTTCTGGTAACTTTTTCCTTATAATTCCAAAGGAACCTCTTCCTAACAAAACGGTTTTTGTTTGTATTAGCATTTACATTTCTTGTAATCTTAACTAACAACTTCATTTAATTTTTATGTGTGTGTGTGTTTGTGAATAGGCAGAAATGTAATCTTAACTAACAACTTCATTTAATTTTTATGTGTGTGTGTTTGTGAATAGGCAGATGTGTCTTCCGTGCATGATGCAATGAATTCAGCCATGGGAGTCATGCAGAGTATAGAAGCAATGGCCACACAATTCCTCCCTCAGGTCTAATTTTTTTATTAATTTTCAATGTAAAATTACAATTTATAATTTTTATTATTAGGTCAACTAATCAGTCGAAACAAAAGACGGATGGGTTGATTTGGTTGATGTGTGGTAGGTACCAATCAGCATCCAACTCATATTCACTTTCAACATGAATGTGCCGAGTTATGTTAAGAATCTTAAATAAATTATCAATTTTTTTATCAAATCTCTAACATAGGTGTGGAACTCACACGCATGTGATTTGTGTGAGTCTCACACCCATGTGAAAGGTTTGATAGAAAATTTGATAATTTATTTAAGATCCATAGCATTTTCCTGAATATGCCATCTACATATGAGTACTCCAATTTTTATAATTTAGTGGGTGGTTTTTTGTTTTTTTAGATTAAATTTTTTTTTTCTTTAATAACCTTTTAAAATAAATTTAAAAAGTAGACTTTTTAGATTCAACTCGCTACTCGACCAAATGAACTACCAAAAAAAATAATTTAAAAAATGAAAAAAAGTTCACTTTTGACTTCTTTTTGGAATTTTTTTTTTTTTAACTTTTTGGATTCTTTAGAAAATTTAAAATAATTGAAAAAAAAAATTAAAAATTACTAAAGACAAAAAAATTTTAAAATGTGATTTTTTAACTAGATGCCAAAGAGGCTTCAAATTGCCTCATTTTCCCCTTATTTTCTCCTTTTATTTCTTCTCTTCTTTTTCTTTTATTTATTTAATTTTTTATTAAATATTTTTTAAATGAACATGGTTGTAGTGGGGTAAATTAGTTTGACCCAAATTTAATTTTAATACTACTTATTTCACTTTGAACAATTCAATTTCAATTTTAATTTAGTTTTTTTTCTTTAAATTAGACTTTAAAATTCACAATTTCATAGCATGTGTCAACCTTATGAGATGTTTTTTATAGTCCATATTGCTATCCTCCATTCTCTTCCATATTTTATTTTGTAGGTTTTATTCTAGACCCACAATCATGATTTGAACCATTTATTTCATAAATTTTGCAATGAAGAGGATTTGTACAAAAAATCAACTTCGTTAGATAATAATAAATAAATGAACAAATCACATTTTATTTTATAAAATAAATGGTTTAAGTTTAAACTAATAGCTGCCATCTATTTTTAAAAAACAAAATATAATTTGTTCACCTGTTTCGTGATATTTGACGAATATGTTTTTTTGCACAATTCATTTTTGCAAAATGGAGGGGAGCCACTCCCATTAGCTAAAATAGCTAAAGAGTCTATATTAAAAATTAATTAATTTTGTTTTTTTTTTAATAAATTTTTTACATATTTTTTCAAAAAATAAAAATAAAAATTACTAACAAGACATCATAATAATAATATATAATATATAATTTTTTATACTACTA